ATATGTTGGCAGAAACTGCACTACCTCCTGTCACTGTCATTTCTTCCCAGCAAATCTCTTTATACCCCCTTTCTATTAGTCAATACATCCTGGAGGCCTAGCAGGCATTCAAGGAAAATACTGAGGACTTCTAATTATCATCATGCCTTAGTGACCCCGACCCTCAGACTGTCTGGAAAAGCAGGATCTCTTACTATTGCAGGAAGCATCTAGTATTATTACTCCCACTGTGCAAATAAAGAATGCATGGGGGGAAAGGGCTAGATGTCACTAGAGAGTAACAATATGAAGCCTTTATTTACAATTGCAATCCAAACAATCTGTGTTCAGCTGGTGCTCAAGTCTGGAGGTATTGCTCCCTAGGCTTTTCCCTGTTGCACCTAAACTTTCTCTGCACACTTAYGTTTCTACTTTGGGGCATGTGTGGCGTGGGAGATTGAAACTATTGGACATGTGGTCCCGTGGAACAGTCTCCTGAGGGCCCGAGCACCCCCCTTGCAAACACCAGGGCCCACAAATCTCACCCCATGTAAACAGAGCAGTACAAACCAGCAAGACTGGCTGCTTTCTTTGCAAAGTTTCAAGGGGGGTTTGCCACCCATTTCCTCCATAAAAGCCTAGTTGCCTAGAATATCTTCACATGAGAAAAGCAACACAAGCCAAACACTTCATCCCTCCTCAGGATGCTCATCTCCTAGCCCTAYACCTTAACCAGCAGGAAACCTGACAGGCTGGCCCGGGAGAGATCAGTCTCTCCTCTCTCTAAAATAATTATGCACTCAAGCAATGGGAAAGAAATCATGAGCCCATATCCTCATGGTTTAGGCAATGGGTTTGCAGAAAGAATGCTGCATTTCTATCCCTACAGAGATATTTTTAAGATATTTTCTATTAAATAGTCTAGAGCTTGAGACTATTTAATAGTCTGTCCTGTGGCTTTAATTGTGCAGATTTGCCTAAAAACAAGGACTACTTTAATCTGCAGAGTTAAGAAATAATTTTATACCTTCTTTATTATTAAGCACATCCAAACATCATCACCATCACTTTAATGCAGAATTTCTCTCATTATTTTAATAAGACATAATATTTAATCTCTGGTGCTGAGCCACAGCATCCTTCTCTCTGTGACAGAGAAAACAAAATTTCTTCAGGGAAGTGCAAAAGCAGTTAATTTACCCTAGCAATAAACAGATTGTGGTTTTTAAGTATCCTGGTTTCAGATAAGCATTTGTTTACATTTGTAGGTGTGCAGTCAGGACACTAACAGTTCCCAGTGGGCTTTCAGATGTGCTTCTGAGAGACCAATCTTATTCCAAGCAAATTAACGAGGGAACTAAAACACAGCGTTATTAATAAAGTTGATTTTGCATATGATAGCTTCCAGAAACACTCCCCACACACGAGAGGCAATACTGCAGATTCTCCTAATGATATATTTCATGCTTTTTACCACCCATGTACAGTGTCCACAACTAAGGGAAAGCAGGACTCCAGCCTGGCTTAGTACCACCAGGGTAACCAGAGCCGTGTTCTAGATGCACAGCCACATTCTTCCCCACTGACATGATCCCCACTGACATCTTTGCAGAGGCTGCAAAGATGCAGGATAAAACTGAAAAAGCTTTCATTAGGCTTCTAGCATGACTTATCTTCATTACTGCCAGTAACTCCAATCCCTATTACAACCATACCATTCTAAGACTGCCACCTAAGGAGCTTTTTTCTGCTTCTGAGCTTCTTAACACAGCAGTTCAAGCATACAGTCACACAGAGACTCTACTGCTGCTCCTGTAATAGTCCAGCTCTGCCACCTACACTGAATTTGCATAAAACCTCACAGCATTGCCATTTTGAATATCCTTGACTGTCTTATCAAATACAGAAGTAAAGCAGCCTTACAACTAAACATTGTGTTTAAAGTTGTAAGACATGCTTGCACCAGCTATAGCTACCCACRTTTTCTTTATTAACCACAGCTAGGTCTGTTCTGTTGTTACATTCCTCCATTTTCCTAAAAATAACAGTTCACATCAGCTGTCTTGTTTACAAAAGTCAACAGCATCCTGGGCTGCATTAGCCACAGCATCACTGGAGGGTCAAGGGAGGTGATCCTGCCCCTCTRCACAGCACTGGTAAGGCCACAGCTGGAATTTTATGTTCACAAAAGAGACRTGGACTTACTGAAGCAAATGCAGCACATGACCACAAAGATGACTGTGAGACTGGAGCACCTCTCATATAAGGAGAGGCCAAGAGAGCTGGGACTGTTCAGCCTGGCAAAGGCTGAATGTGTATCAATACCTGATGGGAGAGAATGAAGAGGAGGGTGCCAGACTCTTCTCACTAGCATCTACTGACAACTGAAACGCGTGTCATTTCATCTGAACACAAGAAAACACTTTTTTTCCTACTATGTGGGTAGTCAAACACTTGGTCAGGTTGTATGGAGAGGTTGTGGAACCTCCATCTGGAGAGATACKAAAAAGCTGCCTGGACATGGTCCTGGACAAGCTTGGGGGATTAGACCAGATGATCTCAAGGGGTCACTTCATACCTTAAAGATTTGGTTCATTATATGGATGTTGAATGTATAGGTTATCTCCATCCTAGAGATAATTCCTAGTGGAATCCTCCGCTAATTAGAGGGCAATAAATTTGAATGATGCCTGTATCTAATATACAATATAAATATAGATATTTACTCCAATTTAAAGCAGAAAATCCAGAAATGATGCTGTCAGACAAGGGGGAGAAAGGGGCAAACCAAACTGTAGTTATATTTGAAGCATTTGGACAGCAAAGACTTAACAAGCTATGCTATACTGAAGAAACAGGTAATTTTTATACTGATCATCATACTGTAAACTGTCATTAATTACACTGTAGCAACTCCATATGATGCCCCAGTGATTTTTTGCCTTTTTTCTTTTATATATTTGTAACCTTCCCAGTACTTTTCCCTACCCTTTTCCTCAGCTAAAAAGACCAAACACATTCCAGAGCTCCAAGGCCTGTGGGGTACAAAGCCCCTATCCTATCTTGGTTCTTCCTGAGAAACAAGGTTGAAAATAAAGTCTTTGAGACACATTTGCATAAACAAGTACAGCTAGTACCAAGAGTGGGGGACTCCAGAGAAGGAGCTTGACCTGGGAGGAATTGCATTATCACTTGTCCTCTTAATTGATGCTTTTTATCAATTATGCTAAATTCCTAAAACCTATAAAACTGTACTCATCCCTTCGGGGATGTGCTTTTATAGATATACTTCCATGACTGCACCTGGAGCTCCAATAAAAGCCCATTTTTAGTATTAAATCCTATGCTAAAATTATCTCAAATTTCATTCCTAAGTTAGAAAAGGCAACACATGAAGTGAGTATATCTGATGCTGTAGAATATTTGACTCTCTCAATCCTACCCCTAAGTCTGACCCTCACCCTAACACTAGCCCTACCCTAAACCCAAACCCACTACCATGGCTGGTTCAGATCAGCAAGGAGCAGCAATCTTGGGGCCTTGCTGGGATCATTTTAGCCTTATTTTTCCAGACCCAGTATTCTTCGAGCTGTAGGATATTTGACCCTCTCAACCCAAAAACACTAATGCTAACCTGTACCTTAAATCTATCCAAACCAAAACCCATGGCTAGTCCAGATCAGAAGGCAGTAGGAGCAGCAATGTTGAGGCCCTGCTGGGATTCTCCTGGCCTTCCTTTACCAGCCCTAATATTCTTTGAACTGTATGATACTGATAAAGCAGGAAAATAGCGTGCTGTTTATTCATGGAAAAACTGCTTCTGCCATAGAGGCCTGGATCTTCACTAGTCAATTTTGCACACCCAAGGTTTCCCCCTGCTGTCAGCGACATCAACACCATTGCGGCGTTACCCAGCGCAGTGTAATTCTGTGTGCCGAAGAGGAGAAGTCGGCAGTAAGGGGCTGGCAGCAGCACACTTCTGTTGGCAGAACTGAGCTGCCGACTGCAACACTTCAGATAAATTCTCAGGGGTGTCTGAGGCCTTTTCTCCTCCACTTATTAAGCAGAATTGTTACCCATCTTGTTGCCATGTTTCAGTCAAAAGTCACAGGCAGCTCAGCACGAACAGGCTGCGCAGGRAAGCTGTGGATGCCCCATGCCTGGCAGAGTCCAAGGCCAGGTAGGACGGGCTCTGAGCAGCCTGGTGTAGCGGGAGGTGTCCGTGCCCGTGGCAGGAGGGTGGAACACGATGAGCTCCAGGGCCCCGCCATCGCCCCCCGCGCCTACATCTCCCGTCGTGCCGCGCGGCGAGCTGCGGGCGGGGCCGCGCGGGCGGCTGCGCGCAGGCGCGGTGGTCGCGCGGCGGTCGGTCGGTGGAGCAGCCGGCAGCCATTGTCGCCGCGGCCGCAGAGCGGTTCTCTCACGGCCCGCAGGACTCGCCGCTCCGCGACGGTACGTGGCCGCCCCTCCGCGGCGGGGGGCCGGGGCGCGTGCGGGGAGCCGCCGGCGGGATTCTGGCGGCCGTGCGCCGCGGTGGGGCGGGGACGGGCCGAGGCAGAGGAGCCGCGGGCGGAGGCCGCGCTGGCGCCGCGCGGCGCCGCAGGCCCGAGCGCTCGGCGGGGCCGCGGCGGGGGGGGGTGGGGGGGGGTGCGGGCCGCGCTCCATCGCTGCCCCGAGGGGGGAGGGCTGATGCCGGCGGGATGGCCGGGAGGAGCCGTCGCGGATTGGAGGCGAGCGCACAGCTTCGAGGAGCCGAAGGGACTGGCGCCGCTGCGTGGGCCCGGCGCCGCGGTGGCGGCGGGCCCGTGAAGAGGGCCTTGCTGCCTTGGGCAGGCCGCGGGCCTGGCGTAGCCTCGGCCTTTCTCGATTTGTCGAAAGGAGGGAGGAGCAGATGGCTGCTAGCTGCGGGGCCGTGCTTCCCGAGGGCATTTCCGCGTATTCTGAGTCGCCAGYGAGCGAACTCGATTGCATTGTGGTAGGCGCAATGTGTGAAGCTCCGCGCCTCAAAGGTGTCAATACAGATCTCGCATCCATTGTGCTCCCTGATTATGAGTAAATAACGCGCGGATGGGTTGTTCCTACGGATTCCGCAGTATATTTGACAGTTTCAATGGTGATCAGTTCCACCCACCCACCCACCCCGTGTTCATTTTCCTTCTGCGCTTTTCTCCCCACCTTATTTTGCGAGAGCTAAAATTATTGAATAGCAGTTACGCAGTCGTTTTTATCTTTCAAATCTCTGTTGTTCCCAACATGAGCGCTGTTGCCGGAGTGGCCGTTCTTGCCATGTTTTAAAACACACAGTTACGTAAGGATGCCCTTCTTCAACGAGGGCCTGCCTTTCCCTTAATACCACTGCTGGCCTTGCCAGTGTTTGCGTGGTAAGGGTGCGCCAGGGAAACCATCTGTTGGAAGACTGGGCACTCAGCGAGGGAGCTGAACCAGGCCCCTGAACTGGATTATTGTGTGGCATTAAAATGCACGTGTGAGCACAAAGGAGAGAATGGCTACAAAGAACAGCGTGGGCTCCTCCGAGGTTCAGGGGTGTCTGAGGCCAATCTAAGTAAGTGCTGTCATAGTTAAACCCCTCGCCCATAAAAAGCCCAATACCCAGGCTTCCAAAATTCTAGCACATCTCCGATGGCACAGTGAGTCTGAGTAAAGAAAGTAATCAATAGAAACCTAAGAGGTGTTAATTAACAGAGAAGATGAATTGCATTAATTCAAAATATTGATTCCAAATTGACTGGAATTATTTTCACAGCTAACATGATATGTTGTCTCTTTACTTTGCCTACTTTAGAGCCTAGTATTATAGTGCAAGATCACATTGTATTTCTGTTCCCTAGGACTTGAATTCTTCTTTTTATTTTCTATGACAGCAAGCTCACTGGGTGAGCCAGATAATTCATGCTTTCCAGTTACAAGATCTTAAACATTTTTGAACCACATAAATTGAAATAGTGACCCCTCAAGGTAAAAAAATGGAGTTTTACATAGAATATCCCAATTATATATCCCGAATCATAATACATACTGGATCAGTAGATAGCTTTGAAAATTTGATTGTCCCAAATAGCCTTTTTTACTTTGGCCATTGTTGAAATTGCATAATGCAAAATTCTATTCTCAAAACCTTATAGATTGTTAAAATAAGGAATATTTATGCTTAATGGAAATTGAAATAATTTGATCTTTTTGATAATTTTAATCTTTTGTGTGCCAATAAAATTTTATTGCAGAGATTCTTCTAGGTGGAAGCAAAAATTTTGAGAATGTTTTATGCTGTTTTGTTGTTGTTTGTTGTTATTCCAATGATTAGCATATGAGTTTTGTTCCTTGTTTTTTTTGTTTTTAAACTGCTGCTACTCCAGTAAAATCGTCAAAGTAGCAGAGTTGGGGTTTTAAGTTTCATGATTAAAAAGTACAAAACTGGAAATTCTTTGTTGGTTCTTCTAGAAATCAGCAAGACAGAATTTTATCCCTTTTGTGTCTTGAAAGAATTAGGCTTTTAACATGTATACCTGGAGGACAGTAAAATCAAATCCTATTTGACCAAGATTTCTGAGATGTAAAAGTGATCTTAATCACTCTATTTTAAGTTTGTTAATCAGATAAACAGTGTTGTTTTCTTTTTTAGTATCAACCTTAAGATGAGTGGCTGCCGTGTCTTTGTTGGACACTTGAGCTCACGTGCTCGTGAACGGGATGTAGAGAAATTCTTCAAAGGATATGGCCGCATACGAGAAATCCATCTGAAAAATGGATTTGGATTTGTGGTAAGTAATAGCCTTGTTTTCCTTGATCCTGCTTGCAGGACAAGGAATGATGTCCCTTCCTTGACAAGCCTAACCTTGCTAGGCTCATGTCAAGGAAGGGAAGATGTTTAAGAAAATAGTAGTTGCAGTGGGTAATGGAAAATATTACTGTACATTTCAGACTGCTTTTCAGAATTTTGGATTACAGTTTTGGCCAGGTTTTGCTCAAAATTTTGGGTCATATTCTAGCTACATTAAATACATTGTTTGATCATTGTCTGTGGATTTACAATTTATCCCTCTTTTCTGAAGACTGTCAATATCCTTTTATGGCAGTACAAAATTTTGCAATCTTGACCTGGAAGAAAAGTTCATATAGAACCACTTAAGCTCCTCTCTCACTCCTTCTAATCTGCTTGGTCATATCTCTTAAATAATAGCCTGACATGAAAGCAAAGTAGTTGGCTGAGACAACAGGTGTAATAGGTGCTTGCTAGTGGATTCGAGCAGCACTGTTTTGAAGTCTTGTGCAGCTAAAGTTAGATATATTCACCATCAGTACATGTTTATAGGGCGTATGTGTCTGTCATACTGTTAAATGAAGTAGACAGTTCATTATATCTCTTAACTACTACTGCTTTTTAGAGCTCTGTCTTCCTAAATGTCCAAATTTTGCAGCTTTACAGGTTTGCAAATAGACTCAGGCTCAGCCTGTGTTTTAACTGTTATCTCCTGAGAATTGAGAATTAGCTGTTCTGCAGCGCTTAGTTCAGACTCGAAAGGCTGATACTGCCCTTGCACTATGGTAGACTCAGATGCCACTCTTTCTGCCAAGCTTAATCCCTTGAGTGAAGTTATGGGAAAAGAACAAAAGAACAGGTTTTCTTTACTTTAGTTTTATATGAATATTGCTCCCTAACTCCTATACATGGTAGTTCCTGATTACTTTACATTACGAACTGCTTCTTATGGACTGACGGTAGGTAAATACCTGTCTCTTAAAGTCCGGAGGTAAATGGCTGATCTAGACATGAGCCTGAGTKTATTTAGAGTGCTTTTTCCAATTGCTGTTATTTCTCAATCCCCTTTCCTTGAGTGTTCCTCTTTTCCTGGGCTAGGCTGTTGACYCATTCAGGAGCAACTTGTGTTCAACTCTTGTAAGCAAGTCAGTCAATCCTCCCTGCTCTCTTCTGTAGTTCCTACATGGAACCATTTTCCTTTCAAAGATCATTAATAAGTATGARTAATTGTCTCATAACTTTATCTAAAAAATGAATTGTTCTTAGGATAATTTTTTTCTTTGCAGCTGAACCATTTTCTCTCGCATATGTGTCATGCCATCATTGTGCACCCATATTGGAAATCACTTCCATTGTTTTTGTAACTGTTCTGGGTTTTGTAAGACTCTGACTGGATTCCCTTGGACCTGCCTTTTCTTCAGGCTGAACAAATAAGGCTCTCAGCCTTTCTCTGTTATCTAACCTTCTGATCAGTTTTGGTGTCCCTCTGCTAGTCTCAYTCCAGTTTTTCAATGTCTTTTATGAGCTGGAGGGACCAAAACTGGACACAGTGTTCCAGGTGGACCTAACAAATGCCAAGTAGGGTGGAATAATGGCATCCCTTGGTCTGCTGGTTGTACTCCTACTGYTGCAGCCCAGGATGCGATTTGCTTTCCTTGTAGCAAGGCCACACTGCTGACTCAGGCTTAGCTGACTCAACATGAGGGTTTCCATGTTCTTTTCAACAGAGCTACACTCCAGCCACTCAGCTCCCAATGCATTCTACTGCTTAGGATTATTTTATGCCACGTGCAGCACTTCATGTTTCTCTTTTGTTAAGACTTGTGATTCTTGTTTTCCTAATCTTTAAGCCTATCAAGGTCTTTTTGTGGGATGTTTTTTTCATTCTGGTGTATGTATTTCTCCACCCACTTTGGTGTCAGATACAAAACTGGTGAGGCTGTGCTTGATCCTGTCATCCATGCCATTGATAAACACGTGGAATGGCATTATCCTTCRTGTCACTTCACTTGCCACGTGCTGTCAGTTCATTTTTATTTTCTATTATTGAAGAGCTGTATTTATAAAACATATTACAAAACCATGTGAACATTGTTACAGTGTTTAAAAGCATGTTCCATTGTTCTGGATTGAAATAATTGCTTAACCTTTGAAACTAATTATATCGACTTAAATTTTGTAGATWTCAAGGCATAGTGTTTTCAAACTTCAGACCATAAAGCTAGAKAGACTTGCACATGTTCAGTTTGTTAGAAAGTAGCTGACATAATGGGACTTGCAGTTGCCAACTACTAATAATATCAAATGCTGGACGTAAATTAATTTTTTTAAGATCATCTTTGCATCATCATGTGAGGATGTGTGATGTTTCACTTCGTAGTGAAACAGATTTCACTGCAGAGGGGAAGATTACTTAAGCCAGTATTGCTTCTGAAAAGCAGTTTATAGTTATGCAAGCACTTTCTTCAACTTGAGAAGTTTCTCTGTTGTTTATTGCTTGCAAGGTGCTGTTCCACAATTTTTTCTGTCCATCTACACTGTTGCTTCCAGCAGTCCCTACCCAGCTGCTGGTTCTCTCTGCTTTATTTCTTTCTTTGTCCCCTTACCTCTCAGGGTGTTGCTGCAGTTGTTCACCCACATATAATGAACCTACCTGGGAAACTGATCTGGTTGAAAAATAACACTGTCTTTTTCACCCCACCTCCTGCACAAAGTGTGCTGTTTTTCATCTGGGTAGGTTTCTTGACCTAGTTTCCTGCAGAGCTGTACAAGTGGCTTTGCCAAGAACCTGTGGGCTGGATAGTRGGCAGAGGCTACTTGGGCTGACTAAAGCAGCATTTCTGCCAAAAGCAAACTGACAGATTACATTGCAACAGTAAATGGAATTATGCTTGTTATAGCTGGTCTGGACTCGCAGGTGGCCGGTGGTGAAGAGGGGCTTATGTTTCACACTCTTGTTACACGAGCACCTTTTTGCCTAGSTAGTGAACTGAATTCACTCAGAAAACAACTAGGAGGGCCTTTTTTTTTTTCTGGTTCACTCTTTCTTTGCCAATTCAGTAAGAATTTAATCTTAAGAGAGTTTTGGGAGTGCACATCTCTGCTGCACTTGATCAGCTTATGCTGTTATATAGCATTTCCCTGTATGTGGGGCTGTGTTTTAAAATGTGTGCCTTGAAGGAATTCCCCCTACCTCTCTCCAAAACTATTTTWGATATTTCTGTAGTGTAAGCCAGGTCATTTAATTAATTAATATAGGTCCTGCAAATAGTTATACTGAAGCAACTGGGGAGTTTGTGGGGTGGAAGGAGAAGAGATAATTGTGAATAGGAGCCCCTTGGCTTTTCAGTCATAAATGTACCAGGAATTGGCTTCCTTATTCAACGTTCTTGGTGATAACTTGCTGTAGAAATGTAAAATCTATAAAGAAGACATATTTCTTAGTCTTTGCATATACTTTGAGGGAAAATACTTTTAAATTCCTGTTTTCTTTCTAGGAATTTGAAGACCACAGGGATGCTGATGATGCAATTTATGAACTAAATGGTAAAGAGTTGTGTGATGAAAGGTAAGTGTGATACCATCATTTCCCTTAAGAATAGAAGAAGTGCTTTGCATCAAAAAGCTGCATTATCTTGTGCTCCGAACATCCATTTCTTGTCATTCTATGGTGGCAYAGACATTCAATGGGATCCAGTCTTGTTTAAGGCCAAGGTTAGTTTAAGACAGGAGGAAGAGTGATTTGGAGCAGGGTTGACTGTTTTCTCTACTTGCACTTAGTAAGTGCAATATTAGTAAGAGTGAGTTGAATTTATKTAGTATTTATCTGTCTGCTGACCAGAAAATAAGCTGGTGATAGCCTGTCATGATTTGGAGGGCTGCTCTTGCAGCAGTGTGGACTATAGTCATTGTATGTTAGAGTAATTTTTACTGTGATTATCTAAGCTGGATTTTAGATCATTAGTTTGTCGGTCGTTATTTTAGTACACCCTTTTCACTCAGTGAGTACTTCTGGGCTCTGGTTGAGCAAATTCAAGTGTTTCAGTCTGAATTACAGACAATTTTCCATGAAAATCCAAGGGATATGAATGGGAAAAGACAAAACCRCTCATCTGGCTCTTTAAGAAATGCCAGTGATTGTGTTATAAATCGTTGCTTGCAAGGGCAAGATAATTCTTGTTTGTGCACATTTGCTTCCAATTGTGAAAGATTCAAGTCAATGTCAGATATTTAAGGTTTGTTGTTCTGTTTTTTTTATGTGCTTGTTTTGTTTTTGTTCCTGTCATCAGGGTCACAATTGAACATGCTCGAGCCCGAAGAGGAAGGGGGAGATTCTCACAACGGTTCAGTTACTACCAGTCACAGAGTGGATCTAGGTAGGTGATCTGGCTCTGTGTGCTTTTCCTCTTCCAGTAACTGAAGAGCTGTAATGAAATACTGTTTTCTTCATGTGATTTAGGGGTCCAKCTCTGTTTCTTTGTGTAGCTTCGCGAAAGAAGTTTTGTGTGCTCAAACCCTGCAGGTTCATTACTATTCTTTCCCTTCTCTGGCTGAACGAGTGTGGATTTTAAAGCAGTTGAAATGTCTTGGAGAGATCCACAAACRTATTATGAAATGTGCCTTTGCCATACTGTAGGCAATAGGCTGGTCTTGCTTCCTACTATCATGTTAAATGATGTGAAGGAGTAATGCTGCAGTTGGATTGGCTGATTTTAACACTAAATCAAGAAAAATCAGAGCTTCTCTGTTGTGGCTTTTGTCACCAAACTGAGCTTACATGTAAAGTAGAATTGCTGTAGAGCAATAATTCAAGGTATTCACTGTCTAACCAAGTTTTCACATTCCCAGTTGTATGGTTATCAAAATGCTTATTTCAGCACAGCCCAGAAAAGGAGCAGTGCTAGGGCACAAGATAAACACTTCTGCACATGTTAGTAAATACCRGTTGACTAAGTTCGCTGTCCAAGCAGGTGCCTTGCTAAACGAGATTCTCTCTCCAGCTCATCTCTAGAATATCTATAGGGGACATGAAGTCTTTGGGGAATTGTTCACTTTCAGTGATTTCAGCCTGTGGTGAACCTTGTGCCAACTCACAGTGAAAGTTCTGCAGGTTTGGATAGATTCCATTATACAACTACACATTACATCTTGTGTACTTTATATCTACCTGTGTGAAGGAAATATGTGTGGAATAACTTACTCTGTAGAAACGTATGCAGCTGTGGCCTATGCAGAGTAGAGTTTGGAAGAAAGACAAAGATACAAGGGACATAAACCTTCATATTTGCTACCAAGTCTTTTAAAGTAGCAAGTGTGATTGATGGAAGGTTGTGGGCATCTGACATTGTAGTCATGTTCATGATGTCAGACTGCCGATGCCAGACACAAAGAGATTCCACAAATGGAAAAATGAGACTCATCCTGCCAGTTTTGTGACTCTGGGGCCTCTTGTTTAAATACCTTCAAGATCTGGATGTTTTGAAATAAATGTGGACACTGAGGTAAGCACTGAAATAAAATTGCCTTTGCTTCGGTGTACAAATCAAYACATGCCGTTTAAGACTGTGTTTCTGTGGAGCAGATGAGAATAATTTTCTCTGTGGTCAGTGTGCTTGATTTTTCAGTCTTTTTTGTAGCAATTCAAATTGTTAGAATCCTGCATTACTTACCAAAAAACTGGCATGCCTTTGTCCACAATTCTCTAATCCCTTTCAATTCAGAATTACTAGGATGGGGAACAGAAATGACTTGCATATATAGTATTCTTTCCAGGTGTTAGTAGCTGTTCTGTATGAAAGTTTGCAAGCCACATTTTCATTTTTGAAAGAGTCTTTCATTTTTGGTTAAGTGGAAAATACCAGCTTTCATTCAGGAACTGTAAACTGCCACAGTTATTTCAGGGCAGTCAGTTGTTTAGCTCTCATTTTATTGAAATAGAAATATTTCTACCCAAAAAAAATGTTTAATACAAATCATTATGGCATTCTTAAATATTAACAAGTAATCTGGAATTTAGGAGTGTGAACTAAAGTTCCTGTGAGTTGTGCCGTCTTGCTCGCTGACATGAAGCAGAATGCTACCAAGTAAAAAAAAAAAACAAACAAAAAATAGAAAAAAGTGTTCTTTCTCTGAATATCCCAGAAGCCATATGTGAGCTAAGCAGGTCAAATACCAAAATGAGTTTAATCTCTGTACATCATTTTCATTTTACTAGACATTTACCTAGTGTGTGTTGAAAAAAAATGACAGCTTTGTTGATTTGCTTGGTAAAAAGTTCTTCATCAAAATTCTTTAAAGTCATCCTTTTCAGTCCTCTTTTGGCAACTTGTTTCTTCTAGTGGRATCTTAAATATACTCTTGACTAGGGGGAATCAAGTCTGCAGTTCAAAAATAAGGAAATAACTTAAATCTTTCAGCAAACTCTAGAAAATGTCAGATTTCTTAAGTTTTAAATTCCTTATGCTGGAGARTATTTTCTCTTTTTTTTCCTTTGAATGCTTCCAGCCGGTATGGACCTCCTGTTCGTACTGAACACAGGATCATTGTTGAAAACCTTTCATCCCGTATCAGCTGGCAGGTGAGTTAGTGTCTTCTTTTTTTTTTTTTTACACCTTATTTTACTACTCCGTAAGTAGACTGCTTTCAGCCTAATTTCTTAATAAAGCCATCATAAATATTTAATGTGAAAAATAATTTTAAAAGCTTCAGGGATAGCTAAAAATTAGCATTCAAGCACTTACAGAAGTCTTGTTTCAAAGCGGTGCAAATAGTTCTATCACTAGATTTTGTAGCTGGGAAGTGGTTCTTCTGTTTGCCAGCTGATAAAACTTCAGAAGACTCCAGATTGTTTCTAAAATACTGAAACATTGCGTTCATTCAAACTGTGTCATCCTTTTGTATTGTTACACTTGAAAATGCACGCCTTTGTTTTGAATGAAATTTATAGTCTTTTCTTATGTTTTGCAAAATACTTTTGTGAGCTGATGCATGATTAAGAATTCTGGTAATACAGCATTAATATAGGGAATTTTAAGAGAGCTACTGTGTCAAGTATGCTTACTGTAGATATTTTTTTGAAAATCCCAGACTTTCACTACTGGTCATTTGAAGCTTTCTTACCACCTTTCTTTTTTTGTTTTTTCACCTCTCACTAATGTTTTGTTAATATTTACCTAGCTTGTAACAGAATAGCCATATAATCAATTCCTTTAGTTGTGTTCTGTGTAGTATACAGTGTATTGAAAGTTCACTAAGGGCATTAGCAAAGAGTGCTGTTTACAAAAGGTGAGTGAATAGTGGAGTTTAGTCTTGTTCATTAACCTTTATATTCTTTGAATAAAGAGACTTTATTYAGTGTACTGAAAGATGCAGCAGAACGTGTCGAATGTTCGAAGCCTTGGTCTTGGAGCTACTTCCCCATGAGGAGGCTGCTTGACTTGCCTGGAGCTGTGCTGATGTGTTTCATAAGAGTTGGGTGCAATCCATGCAGATAAACAGTTGAACTCAGTTTGTTTATCTTCCGCGTGACAGGTTCAAAGGGTTCGTAATTGTACAGTTGTGGTAATCATTGAATAACTAAAAGAACAACTGAGTTGATGTGATGAGCAAGTGGATTTAATCTAAATAWCTTGTGGGTATGCTACGCAGTTACATATATGAAGAGATTGTCACTTGGGGACGACACTAGGGACCAGAGAAGTGMGATAGAATGGAGTGTTAAGGAAAATAATTCCTATAATGCTGTTAAGTGTTAAAAGCATAACTTGAAAAAAAATAACATTTTTGTAACTTTCTTTTACTTGTGAATATTTATAATGGCTTTATGTGTACTTACATTTTAATCTGAAGCCCACCCAACTCAGATATCATACTGGTGAATCTTTTCATATTCYAATTAAATGTTTTAATGTCTCTTAAATATATGATAAGTTAGCATAAGAGACTTTTTGATACCTGCTTATCATTTGAGGGTAACAATCATATGCAAGCTGCATTTACATTAGAAGTTGTACAGCTTCGGTACTGACTATAGTGTTTTAACTTCTTCTAACCATGCTACTTTTATGACACATGAAAATGGCTAATGCATTAACAGCAGTGGCATTATTCTTCCCTTCTAATCCCTGCTAGGAAGCACACTCAGTATGGAACCTTGCTTTTAAACTTACGCACATAATTTAATCTTCTAGATCCCCATGCTTTGAGAACCKCTATCTCCCTTAAAAGTTTAAGTGTTGGGATATTGAAACATAGAAAAAGCCAGAAAAATTTGTATTTAGATCAGTTTCCTCAAAGTTTTGACCATATTGTTAATAGGTARTCTCATCTCTAAGTAGCAAGACAGACTGTTAGAACTCTCCTTTTTTGTAGCAAACGTATTTCTGCATGTTCAGAGCTTTCCAACCCCGTCATTAGTTTTTCAGTATCAAATTTTCAAGCAGTTTAGAAAAGTAGGTCTGTATTACATCAAGACGTATTGTTTAATATGTGTTTTTCCTACTTGTGGTTGTCCTACACCTTAGTTCTCTTTGTTGTTAAGGACAACAGGGTTTTKTTTGCTATTTAAGGTAAACCAGAAAGGTAAACTGAAGATAAAATTGTTCCACTGGTTAGGTAAAACCAGGTAACTTAAAAACATTCCTCTAATAACAGAATGTTGTGCTTTTAGAACACGTGCACACTTTCTCTCTTTTAAGCAATAATGTTGGCATCTTCATCATGTTGACATTGCTATTGCAAATAATTTTTCATGTTGATCTTTCTAAGGATTCAGCATGTAGTGTGGCAAGACTGTGGGAGCCTCAATTTTAAAGCCTAAAGTTAGTGATTTAGGAAATAATTATGGTAGATTAACATTTTCTAACTTCCAGTGGCTTACCAGTCTTGAGCTGCTTAAATTTTCATTGACTTGAACAGAGACAAATTTTTGTCCATCATCGCTAAATTGAGGTAAACTGAATTTGAAATATTGGTTTTAATGGTACTATAGGGACCAATTTTCATTTGCTGTTAGCGTTTCTTTATATTAAGACCTGTGAAACAAGGAAAATATCTACTACTTTGCATATGCCAGTTTTTAACATAAAACTATTGAATTTTAATTAAAATACTAGATAAAACTAAGCTTTCTTATTATCTGTGCCAAATGTTCTAAAGTTTTTTCTTGGCTTTTTGTTTTGTAGTCTTTTGTTCCTTAAGCGTATTTCTAACCAAGTGCATTTTGAACCTCTTCTAACAACCTTCATTTTTCTTGTGTGGAGGAAAAAGAACCAAAGATTTGGGGGTTTTCTAGTGGCTGAAATTCTAGGGTTTGGCCTGTTCTGAATTTTCCTTTTGGTTCCTATGACACTCCTGTTTTTTGGCAGTCTAGATCTTGGTTTGCCTGGGTTTGATCTCGATTGGCTAGCACAGATCATCCTCGGGTTCTTTAGCCACTTCTGGAGACTGGAGACTATGTCCAGTGCTTTCAGGGCCTCTGGTGCCTCCGTGAAGCATATTGCTATGAGCCATCACTCTGCCTTTCTCATGTAAGAGAGTTCCTCTTGGCCAGCTAGGTATTGGACAAGCAACTCTTTGGTTAAGGTACCTTCTTATATCACCTGCCACTTGTGGTGTGCTGCGGTAAGTAGTCTGGGATTATAAAATACCAGATACTGTTGGGTAAAAGTGCTGCCTTAACTTATATAAATGTTTAGCTTTTTAGTGACCTTTTGCATTATTTGTGCTTTCTCCTGCTGCTAAACAAGTAATTTTACTGTGTCCACATGTTTAGCCTCTATTAAAGTTTAACAAAAGGATGTCTATTGATGTGACACTGTAGCGTGACAAATACTCAAATGAAACTTAAGAAAAAAATTCCTTTGTAAATTTTTWAATTACATTGTAATTACACCTTTTTGCTTTTAATTTTGCTTTGAAGCTGGGGGAGGTGAGCATAAAGGTTCAATTTGTCTACATTTATTGCATTGTCATTTAACTGGGGTGTTAGTTATGAAAATTGCATTTAGTACTACTGCACTTCTCATCTCGTATAGTTTTGATTTCAGTGGACATGTTGGTAGTTTAAGTATTTCATTGTGTTTTCATAACAGCTGGTTTTGGGATGCAGATTTATCTTAAAAGCAGTGTTCACTGTAGCTGTAAAATGGTGGATCCTTTCTATATGCAGCTGCTATTACATAAGCTGTTTCAGAAACTTTTTTCTAAAGGATATATATATATTTATATATATAAATTGAAAAGTATTAAGCAGCTTTAGCAGAGAAAGTTTTAGGGGATTATTCTGCTACCTGACTCATTTGTGTTGTGTTTAAGACTAAAATGTTAATTTTTACTGTAGGACCTGAAAGACGTCATGAGAAAGGCAGGGGAGGTCACCTATGTGGATGCACACAGAAACAACAGGAATGAAGGGTAAGTTCTTTTTGTGTTTAAATCGATATGATAGCTGAGACTATTAAGGGCATGATTTTTTTCTATAATACAGAAGCAATTAAATATAAATTTATGGYGTGGCTTAGATGCTGAAATTCCTCCAGTTAAAGAACCAAAACACAAAGTGTCAGTAAACAGGAGTTCAGTATGAACTCAGTCTCTATTCTGTGTCATGGAAACAACGTGTGAAAGCAGAAAARGAAGGGAGAATTCCTTTCAAACATTATGTCCTGCTGTCTTTAACTTATTTTTATATAATAATTTATGATCTGAGTCTAAAACACCTCCCATATGTGGCTGCTTTACACTGGTTCCAGAGTCATGTGAAATGAACATAACAAACTTCAATGGGGAATACCTACCTACCTGTCTGCTCTCCATTCATAATTCTGCAGACTCCAAAGGTCCTGCACAACAAAGCAGGAAAGAAGAAAGCAYGAATAGTGTCTGTGCTGGCAAAACAGTGCTCTAGGGCTGCTGCAAACCAATGCAACTTACACCTTTTTTGAGATCAAATTTAAAAAACCACAAAGAGTGGGGTTTTCTAGTGTTTCATGGAGAGCTTTGGAATGCAGTTTAGTGGAGGACTGAAAAATACTTCCTCAGCTGATGAAGGTTTGTGTAGCTTCCTGCATTTTCTCCATCTCTTCGCAGATGACAGGTCTGGTAATGTTGTAAGAACATGGATGGCTAGGAGTGTTAGTGTCATATTTTCCTGTCAACCAAGTTTAAAATGAGCTTTCAGAAGATAAACTTAAAGCTGTCAATCAACAAACTTAAAAAAGGCCAGACTTGCTCTCCTTTGTTTTTCTGTTTCTCTTAAACTTTTCCTTTTTTTCATGATGGTAAACAGGGTTGTGGAGTTTGCATCTTACAGTGACATGAAGAGTGCACTGGAGAAATTGGATGGCACTGAGCTGAATGGACGCAGAATTAAACTGACTGAAGACCACAGAAGGCATAGGTATGTCGCCTGATAGATAAAATTCTGCTGAGGGTGTGGATTTGGGGAATATTGATGCCAAAGTTTTTTTATCTAGATTTTTGGCCCCAAGCTAAATATCACTGCACAGAACCACTTTCTAGCAATGTAAACAGGTTAAGATAAGAACTAACTTGCTAAAACAAAGTAAATACAGAACACTATTGGATGACAAGGATTTTTTTAAAGACAAAATGAAAGAAAGAACTTTTTAAAAACATGAGTTTTGGTATTAAAAAATGTTTAATTTAAAGGAAAGCTGTTTCACAGTCCTGTGAAATGTTTCACAAATAGTTGTGAGAGCCAACTTGTTAATGAGAATAAAAGAAAATCAGTTAGCTTGCTTGCATTATTCCTGAGCAGTTCTGCTGTTTAGTCATTAAAAAAAGTTGGTTGCAGCTCTTTCATTGTCTTTCTTTAAAATAAATCCATTTCTTTCCAAAAAGGGGACACATTACTAGTGAAGGTATTAAAAATCAAAGGCCTTAAAGTGTGCTGGTGATCCACACCTTTAAAAACTTTCTTAGCCTCTTGAAAGAAACTCTTAGTAATTTGCATGACATTTCTAGAGAGAATAAATACCATTTTGGTGTTTTTCTTGATAAATTAAATTATGTTTCAAGGCAGGTTGTATGCATACAAAGAATTCTTCTTTGATAGAAACCAGCCTTCCTAAAAATGAGGTTTTTCTCCTGCTGGGAGGAGGCATCTCTTATTAGGCAGTTTGTATTTTGCCACGCTTACAGAGAATGTCAAGGCCAGCAGTTCCTGATAGCCTTGACCTAAGRAGATACTGACATGATGGAGCATAACAGAAACCTAGCAGCACTCTGAAACAACCAGATGCTGTGAATAGAGCTTTCAGATGTTCAGATGGATGTGCTATGCATACAAAGTAGTTGAGAATTGTACTTGATTGTTTCAAATTTTGTAAGGGGTGAGACTCCAGCTTTCAATCAATTACGTTTCCCTAGGAGCAGRTCTCGATCAAGGAGTTACTCAAGATCTCGCAGCAGGTCCAGGTCTACAGGATCTTCCAGATCGGACAGCCGGTCCAGGTCCCGGTCAAGGTCCAGGTCCAGGTCCAGGTCTCGCTCTCGATCCCGATCTCGCTCTCGATCCCGCTCTCGTTCTCGCAGTCGTACTCCTAAAAAGAGTTACTCCCACAAAAGCCACCGCTCCAGCTTGATAGCTTCTTCCCCCTCTCCCTCTTCTTCTAAAAGAAAATCTCGTTCTAGGTCGAGCTCTGCTCATAGCCGTAGTTAACCTGCTCTGAGAGATGTGTTAATGCATTTAATTTGATTCAAGTTTCTTGAAGACTTGAGACAAATTATATATGAGAACTGGGAGGGGAAGAGTTAACATGATGAAAGGGTGACCTCCTCTTACATTGCCAAAGTGCCTGTCATCAAATAGGCCATCTCTGTGAGGAGGGGCTGGCTGTCAGCTTTCTTCTTTCAGTGAAGTCTGGAGTGGGAAGTCTTTTTTTTATTTTTTTCCCTGCTATTAGTAAACATTTCTATCATAGATATATTATGTACACATAATGCTGAGGTAATGGGATGAGACAATACGCTGCTTTCTCCCTCTTTTGCCCCCACTTTCCCCTCCACCTCCAAGGCCTTTGACTTCCAAAATACTATGTTAGCTTTTGTCCTTGGTATTAAGTCCGAGAACAGGAAGTATAGATTTTATTCCTTTTAAGGTTCTGTGGCTACTTTTCTGTGCGAGAATGAATGGACCAGATGAAATTAGTTTAGAGTTCCCCTTTTTCCCCATTGCTTGGCTTAACAGGCTGTTTAAGTTCCAGCTTTACATGACCTTGACAATATGCTTAATTTGCAAAAGACTTTCAGGAATACACATTCGTTAGTTGAATATTGCTCACTTTGATAATTAATACAATGTTAAGCAGTAATGAAAGCTGGAATTTTCTGTTAAAATGAGACATACCATCCATATGTCAGGATTATTGGGAATCCATTATAATAATTTTACCGTAATTCACTAGTATGTGGTATTGTATGTATAGGCCTTATTTGACAGGTGACTTCATAAAACTGCACAGAAATGTCAATATGCATGTCCATGTTTTTGATGTTTATAAAAGTGACATAGCTTTCATACCCCAAAGTGTGATACTGAATAACATGTGTATGACTAGCAATAGTCTTGATGGAAAGGAAGGTTATTTTAGTAATGAGAGCAGCAAAAAAAAGTCCCAGGAAAAGTGTCGTCAAAATCTCCAGAATGCACAGTTGTTTTGATTAGTAGAAATTTCCACTGCAGATGCTGTCGTTCTTACAATTTGGAATTAGATTTTTTTTTTAACTTCTGTATCATTAAAGAAGGGAAACATTTTTGGAAAAAAATATGTAAATTAATCCCAAAGTCTTACGTGTATTTAAATGTACCATTCCTAATAAAATCAAACCTTTTTCTGGCTTATTTTGCAGTTTTGTTTTAATTATTGTTGCTGTTGTTCACTTCATACACTCTTTCTGATGTGATCACAAAGAAGTTTATTTGAAGGTGTAACTGTATGGAAACAAGAAAATACAAACTAGAAACCAGTTATGATATGTAAGTGACCAGATGCTGACTAACAGGAGGACAGAATAGGATTTTACTGTCATGGCCAGCAGTGGCTGTTGAATGAATGGTTGAAGGATTCTTTCTGCAGTCCTTGCAAACAAGTTTGCCTGCCAGTTGTGGTCTTCTGGTCTGCCAGTTCAGCAGAGGAACCAACAGTCAAACGGCCGTAGGTGCTGGAATCTTTCTATAGGTAAATTCATTTGTTACTTTTGAAATACTGTACTAGAGATTCTTACATTGCCACACAACATGTGTGCACGTAAGAATGCAGTCTTGAGAGGGAAGAAGAGGGGCTGGAGTAGCTGGAAGCCATGGAGGGAGGGAAAAAATAGCTTTGAGTTTTAACAGGTGGCAGTTTCAGTGTCAAAGATGGGACCACAGAAGGGAATACAACATACTCATGACAACTGTTTGAATGTAGTTTTCCCCTGCATGTGATCCTGAGAAACAGGAATGTATGAGCTTGTTGGTTTTGCTTAAAAAATGCATGGTGTACTGAAGAGCTAAAAGGAGTTTTTCTAAAGAAAACTGAAGTTGTTCCTGTGAGAAGACAGTATCTACAAGTCAGTAGGCAGTTTGATTAGTTAGACATGGACTTGCTCAGTAGACTTTTGGGAGCACATTGTAGTGTGATACTTGGCTGGAATGTTCTGGTTTCACCTAAGCGGGCAACTAAAGCACCACACAGCCAGTAACTCACTCACCCTATAGTGGGATAGGAGAGAGAACCAGAAGAGTAAAAGTGCAGAAACTCGGGCTGAGATAAAGACAGTTTAATGGGGCAGAAACAAGAAAATTAATATGATGAAAGAGTAAGAATACAAAACCAGGAGATGCACAGTGCAGTTGCTCACTATCTGCCAACCAATGCCTGGTCAGTTCCTGAGCAGCAGCCCCCAGCCCCCAACCAGCTTTCCCCTCAGTTTTTATATTGAGCATGATGCCATGTGGTATGGGATATCCCTTTGGACCGCTGCCTTGGAGTGTCCCTTCTGTTTCTCATCCCTCCCAGCCTCCTTGCTGGTGGGACATGAGAAGCTGAAAAGTCCTTGATAAACACTACTTTGCAATAACGGAAAATGTCAGTGTGTTATGAACATTATTCTCATCCTACATCCCAAACACAGCATTATACCAGTTACTAGGAAGGTAATTATCTAGCTGAACCCAGAACAGCTATTAATGTATTTCTGAAACCTAATTATTTTTAAAACAGTATTTTTAGACTGCCTTGAAACAAACTATTTACCCATATCAGGTGCCTTACTTCCAGCTTTACAGAGCACAGGAATGTAAGTTCCACTTCAAGATACCCATAAACAGGATTTTAATACATTAAAGACTATCTTAGCAGTGTTTCAACATCTGACGCTTTTCATGAGAAAGAGAAGAATCATCCTTTGCAACTGGTAGGAAGCTTCTGCTCTCAGCCTTTTCAGCAAAGCTAAAAGGAACAGAGCTCAGAGTTCATTGTATATCTGCAAGTGTATCTGTCATTATTGCTCCCTTTATTGTGCTAACCTGATCCAAGTCAGCCATTTTCACCAATTTCTCCTCAGCAAATGGAGATGTCTGCCTCTTGTCTTACGCCAGTTCTGATGCTCATCTGATTCTGCAGAAGCCAATTCAATGACATCACAAAAAGCAGGTTCTCTGGGTCTCCTGCAATACTGCTTTTTCCAGCATTCTCTGGGAGGGAGGAAGTGGAACTATGACCTGTAACTTTCCTGTGGTGCTTTTGTTTGCCTCCCTCACAAACACAAGTATCCTATTTTTTCTAAGTTTATTCTCCCATCTGTTCTCAAAGTGGTGGGGAGTCTTCAAACAGAATCCCATCACTCTGCTCCTGTCCTTGTTTCTTGAGCTTCTCTTATGACAGGACATTTTCTTCCCAGGGAAAGGAAGTCTTATCTACAGCATGTAACTGCTTGCAGCACAGGGCACACCTGAGCACCGCAATTATTTGCATTTCATCAACTGGCTGCATCACCCCCCAAAACAAGAGCATATTTGCTATGAYATTTATGACACTTCATTATTAATTACCTTTTTGTCAGTTTAACGTGGCTCTTCATGCCAGGATATCCCAGTGGTTTGTGAAAAAGAACTTTATTGTACTTGACCATTTCACACAACTCTCCTTTACTGATGAGGAAAACCTATCGTTGCCAAGCAAGGAGGGGAGGAGGAGGAAGAATACTCCCGCCGGCAAGGCCAGGATTCCTCGCCGAGCAGGTTCGGCTCTGGCTGTCCTTGTGCCTGGAGCCGAGAAGGGGCTGAGAAGGGTGTGGGTTCCGCTCAGGGAAAGAAAMCGTTTCTGGTTCAAAATCGCGGTGAAGGAGCAGCGCGATTCCGAGTAGGAAGAAGTGCTCCAGGGTCTGCACCCGCAGCGCTCTGCCCCTGTTCCAGCAGAGGGTCGAGGGCAGTGAGTGCTGCGGGYGGAATTTCTCCACTGCCAGCTCCTCCTGCCACACCCCGATCTTAAAGCCGAGTGCTGTACACTTCCTAAGTGCAGTTAGTCTTCTTACAAGGGGTTTGGAATGTGTAATTTCCCGTCTGTTTCTTTCATTCCCACTCCATGACCATTGTTTTCCAGCAGACTAAGTGCTCTGTGTGTCCAGCACCTGAGGGCACGTTTCCCATTTTCCCAGCCCTGCAATCAGTTCCCCCCTCCACCACCTCTCTTTGCAAACTGCAGGAGAGTTGTTAGCCTTTCACCCTGGGTGATTTACTGGGACAATAAGGCTGATTAGCCAACAGTTATACCTGGCAGACGGCTATGCAGAGCGCTCCATGCATGCCACCTTAAAGGAGGGGATACAGCGGGAACATAAGGGAGCCATTCAGGCCTTAGAGTCAGCACCGAGGGGAAAGTACAAGGGGTTAACAGGCTGGGGTTAGAAACAAGGCCAAATTATATGCTGTAGTGAAGTACTAGCTAATGGCAACTCTTTATGTCTGGATAGTCTCAAGATGTTCAAAGGACACTCACTGCTATTGATTTGCTGGGCCTAAGACCATGAAGGAGTGATGAGGGAGGGAAGAATGTATCACAAAACTTGTTTTTCAAGATTAACGAAAGACTTAAAGTAAGACAGAGTTTCACTGGTAATGAATGATACTTTTGTATACTGTGATGGCTTTTTCCTGTAATCACGGATTAATGTGGTCTTTCCCTGTTCTTTCCTTTTCCACTGTAGAAATCCCTTGTGTTATGTGGGCATTTAGCAGTGGCTAGTTGAGCTGGGAAGACTCCAGATCAGTATGCTTAGAGCAGATGTTATGGTTCAGACCAAGAATTTCTCTCCATATGTGTGTATGTAGGTATGATACGTCACTGGAGACCCTCAGATGAGATGCTACACACACGCTGGAGTTATTTTACCTAACAGCCAGCTCCCTGGTGCTCTAAGGCAACTAATTTCTCCTCGATCAGATTCCCATGGACATTATTTTATGGTTCATAGAAGTAGGATGCTGCAGGACACTCTTTAAAAGGAAGTGAGCACCCATTGGTATAGCTGAAATCATAAAAATCTGAAAAGGCTCTCAGTCTAGAGCTTTGAAAACAGTTGTTAAAACTGTTGTTAAAATTTGAGCCAGATTTTAGCTGGGGGCAGAGTGGCAGTGGTGCAGCAAATGCTGGCACAGCAATGACAAGAAGGAAACACTAGGAAAAGATACACATGAAAAGAAAAGAAACTGGATGAAGTCTTTTCATTCACATCGACTGCTGAAAGAATTAGTCCTCAAACTCAGTGAATGGGACTATGGATGTAAGCCCCGATGTGACTTCTGGTTGGGATTTTCCAGGTGCCTCAGGCTATCAGGAGTCCAGGCCAGCAACATTCCAGATACCAGACAGAGCTCTCTCTCCAAAGCAGACTGTGYTTAGGCTGTGGGCAATGTGTGCTTGTGCTGGTACTGACCATCAGACAATTCAGTATCTGACCTCTCTAGACAGCCTATCCCTTTCATGCCCCTGGCAAAAGATGGAATTTACCAGAGCTGGACTTAAACACTGCATCTAGTGCTTCAGTCTGAAGTGTTGGTATTGGTGCACTTGACTTTGTCCCTTCTATGWATTTTTTCCAGCAAAGCTTCGGGTCACAGTGGCTGTTTAACAAAAAGTATAAGCAAGCAGCTCTACTGTCTCTTACACACATGGTCATTGCTGTGTTCCCTGCATCACTGCCAGTTCCTATGATGCCTTAACTGAAAAGTGATGTACTCAAAAAACCCCAATTTTTCTTACATGTTTAGAAAGCTTCCCTGTTTTTTTCCTTCAAATTGTCACAGCCTGTTTCTAGCACTGTGCAAGAACTATTACTGATCATGTAGACTGGTTTGCCCAAAATGCCACAAGCTTTCTGCCCACATTTGCCTTCTGTTTGTTTCAGTTTGCTTTCTTTCCCCAGTTCTGGCACTTGGATGGTCTAAAATCCACATCTGCTTATTACACAATCTCTCTTCAATTTCCTTTAGTCCAGTACCTTATATCTCTTACCTGTGAGCACTAGGCTGTATTTCCCGGTGAGAATCGATGACACTCGGTGTATTTTGAGACCCTAAATCTCACCGCAAACACCTCACAACTTCTGAGTGAATTTACTTATCCCTGCTAAGACCTCACAGAGCTGTGTTGTGCACTTTCCTACCCTCCCACACGTGTCTGTGCCACCCGAACAGGAGTGTGCCGAGAGCGGGCTGTGCCCGTGCTGACGGTGAAGGAGCTGCGGTGTGACGCTGCAGCCAGGGCTGGGCTCTGGAGCTGCCCACGCTCCTCTTCACCGTGACGGTGCTGTTTAGGGGACGGAGGGGTTTGCCGGCACGTCAGCAGCGCCATGCCAGCG